ACTGAATCCTCGTTTCCATCACTGTCGACGAGGTATCATACAGCTCACAGGTATCCTGTGGTTCTCTGGTTGCATAGAACAAAGTCCCATAAAATAGCTCAATTAAAGGGAAGTTTATTAAGGCCTGGAACAAATACCAGATACCATAAGCCAGGAGCCAAGGCCAAGGCTCATGGGGATAGGAACTGAGTTACGCCCCTGGGATGGCAACTTCTGTCCCCACTTCATGGGACCACATGTTGGTCTCACTCAGTTGAACGGCTTCCTGTGCACACTCACCCCTTCTCTACCCCATAGCTTCAGCCTCCCTACTTCCCCAGTACCCAGCTCAGTCTCCACAGTACCCTCCCCTGGCCACCGTGCCACCTCCCAGCCCAGTCCCCCATAGCACATGCACCCACCCCTCCAACTCTCTTTGGCCCCATATGACAGGCCCGGGTCTGGGTATCCGGCCGTTGCTTGCTTAGCCTGTGGATTGGTCCTCCTTGGTCCCATGGGTGCCAGGGGATTTATTTGGCTCCAACAAGATATCAGGGCTGTGACCTTTGGAGAGACAGTGGTAGGAAGGCAATACTGGACAAGGGCAGATCAGCTGCCCCAAACGTGGCTTTTGCCCTTGATGGCTTTTTCCCCAACTGCACTCGTAATTCACAGATACAGGCTCTTTCGTAAAGCACTGGAGGAGTGTTGACCACTAACCTCCAAACTTATTCCTCTTCCCAGATCCTTTCAAATTTTCTCTCTCACTCTCTCCTCTCCTCTCCTTCTCCTCTCTGTTTCCCCCCTCCTCTCTCTTTTATACACAAACAACTACATAATTATAATCTTGCTTTGTTTGGGATTATGTAATTGATTTTATATTGTGTATATTCCGAAATTTAATTATTTTTTTAACAATGTGCCTTGAGGGCGTCTTCACCTCCTTTTAAAAGGTGGTCTAGTACAGTATAAAAGGACCAGTAATGTCTCCTGCTGAAATAATTAGGTTGTTTGCAATTTTTCCCATTACAAATAGTGCTAAACGTTCAGGTGAAAAACTGGGGGAAATTAAATATCCAACAATAGGGGAATGGATAAATAGTGTTTTCTTATAATGGAATAATGTATAACAATAAAAAAAAGGAGAATGAACCAATCAAAAGTCAGAGATAGTCAAGTAGGATTTAAAAAGTCGTTTTTAAAAAGGTCATCTAAATATTGTCTATAGTAGACACACTGGACTCAAAGATGTAAAAAGATAGAAAGTAAAAAGATAGAAAGATATATATCATTCTAGCAACAACCATAAGAACTAAAATGGCTCTACCAATATCAGACGAAATAGACTTTAAAACAAAAATATTACTAGAGATAGAGAAGAACATTTCATAATGATAAAATGGTCAATACACCGGGGAGATATAACAGTTATAAGCTTATATGCGATTAACGGTGCCCCAAACACATGAGGCAAAGACTGAGAGAATTGGAGAGAGAAATACACAATTCAGCCATAATAGTTGGACAGTTTATTACCCTACTTTCAATAAAGGGTTGAATGACTAGGCAGGAAAAAAAAAAAAGAAACAGGAGAGTTGAACAACACTATAAACAAATTAGACCTAGTGGATATCTATAACACATTCCATCTAACAGCAGCAAAACAACTCATATTTTCAAGCACATACATAAAACACTCTCCAGGATATCTGCTGGGCCAAAAAAACAAGACACAGGCTATGTATGAAGTAAAGAGAGAGAAGGTTCATTATGTCATGAGTTCTGAAAGTTCAAATCCAAGATTGGTGGCCCCATTGGTTTGGGCCTCCCATGAGGACAACACATCTTGTTGGAAGTGCATGTCACAATGAGTAGCAATTTCTTGAGTCAGGAAGCAGAGAGGGAAACAGAGGATGGACGGGGTCCCATAATCCCTTTTGGGGACATGTCCCCAGGGACCTAAGAACCTCCTAAAGGCCTACAGCACCTTCCAGTAATGCTACCCAGGGGACCAAGCCTTTATATAAAGACTTTTGGGCAACACTGAACATCCAAACTATAGCACACACTGAAAACTATAAAATGTTGCTGAAAAAAAAAATAAAGAAGATTTAAATGCATGGAAAGATATCCCATGTTCATGGACAGAAGACTTAATATTGTTAGATAGCAGTACACCCCAAACCAATCTACATACATATGCAATGAATTCACTATCAAAATACCAGCTGCCTTGTCTTGCAGAAATTGACAGTCATCCTAAAACTTACATGGAACTGTAAAGGGGCACCTAACAGCCAAAACAACTTGAAAAAGAAGAAGAAGGTTGGTGCATGTGTATTTTCCAATTTCAAAACATACTACAAATCTGCAGTAATCAAGACAACGTGTTACTAGCATAAAGATATACATAGAAATCGGTAGAATAGAATTGAGAGTCCAGAAACAAACTTTACATTTATGGTCCATTGACTTTTAAACAAAGTGCCAAGATCATTAACTGGGGAAAGAATAGTGCTGGAATGACTCGGTGTCCACATGAACTTGGACACCTACTTCACATATGCACACACACTAACTCAAAATGGATCACAGGCCTGGATATAAGAGCTATAAAATATAAAATTCTAAGGAAAAATAGGAATATGTCTTCATCACTTTTCGCCACTTTGAGTCAGACAATGATTTTTTTGATGCATGCCAAAACACGCAAAAAGAAAAAAATTGAACTACACAAAATTTCAAACTTCTGCATTACAAAAATTGTCTTCAAGAAAGTGAAAAGGCAAGTAACAAACAGGAGAAATATCTGCAAGTCCTATATCTGATACAGGACTTGCATCCAGAATATATAAAGAATTCCTACAACTCAATGATGAAAACAGAAGTGAACAGTTTTGAAATGGGCCAAGGATTTGAATAGATACTTCTCTTTGCAAACGGCCAATATGCACATGAAAAGATGCATATCATAGGTCATTAGGAAATGCAAATCAAAACCACAGTGAGATACCGATTCACATCCAATAGGTTGGTGTCAATGGAAAAGACAGACCATAACCAGTGCTAATAAGAAGCAGGAGAAACTGGAACCCTCAGGCATTACTGGTGTGCGTGTAAAATGGTGCAGCTTTGGAAAGCAGTGTAGCAGTTCCTCAGTGTAAACATAGAGTCACCAGATGGATTAGGAATTGCACTCCCATCTGCCTATTCAGGGGAAATAAAAACATACCCACATGAAAACTTGGACATGAACGTTCATAGCAGTTGTTTAGTCAACTTTTTCACTGCTGTGACTATAAGACCCGACCAGCACACCTGTCGAGGAGGAAAAGTTTATTTGGGGGTTTCAGAGCTCTCAGTGCAAGGACAGCAGGCTCCATTCCTCCGGGCTCAAGGTGAGGCAGAACAGCATGGCAGCAGAGTATGGCAGAGGGAAGCAGCTCACATGAAGATCAGAAAGTAGAAAGAGGGGTCTCCACTTGCCAGATACAAATATATACCCCTAAGTCATGCCCAATTCCCACCTCCTCCAGCCGCACCCCACCACTTCAGTTACCACTCAGTTAACCAGGGGATTAATCACAGATTGGGTCCTCTGAACCTTCTTGAATTGTCTCACATGTGAGCTTTTGGGAGACACCTCACATCCGAACCATAACGGCAGTATTGTTCATAAGAGACAAAAAGTACCCAAATGGCCACCAACCAATGAAAGGATAAACAAAAATGTGCCATATCCACAGAAGGAAAAATCATCTGGCAATTTTTTTAAAAAACGAAACACAGACTCACGCTACAAAATGAACCAACCTTGAGAACATTATGCAAATTGAGAGAAGCCAGTCACACCGGGGGGGGGGAAAAAAAAAAGACAACTCTACTAATTGTGTGATTTCTTGGGTATGGAACATCAAGGAAAGACAAATCCATGGAGACGGAAATTGGATTAGTGGTTGCCGGGGACTAGGGTACTGGAGGGAAATGAAGAATGGCTGATAAAGGTATGAGGTTTCTCCTTGAAATGATGAAAATGTTTTTAAATTACTTGTGGTGACATTCACACAATTCTGTGAACCATTTAAAAGGTGAATTGTAAGCCATGTGAATTATATCACAATGAAGCTGTTTTTTAAAAATGTGAAAGAAAGTGGATAAAACTTGAAAATATTATGCTAAAAGACACTGGTCACAAAGACCACATATGATATGAGTGTGTGTGTGTGTGTGTGTGTGTGTGTGTGTATAAAATGTCCATAAAGAAAAAGTAAATTGATTAGTGGTTGCCAGTGAGAGAGAGGGTAGGAAGAAATCAGAAGCCACTGCTAATAGATCTGTGGTTTCTTTTACAGAGGAAAAAAAAAAACATGCTAAAATATTAGGCTGCGGTGATTACTGCACAACCCATGAGTGCATTAAAAAAAAAAAAATGTGTGCTTTAAATTAGCAATTGTGTATGGTATGTGAATTATATCTCATTAAAACTGTTTTTTAAAAGTGAATGGATCAGTATGTATCCACCTAGATAAATCTCAAGGCAACATGGGGTGGGGGTGGGGAGAAGGCAAGAGGAGAAAGAAAGCATACACTATACCACTATCCTATCATTTATGTGAAATTTTTTAAAAAATAAATAGTATTATGTCTTTTTGAGAAAAATATATTCTTAGTAAGATAAAAGCTTGGAAAAGGTGTAACTCCAAAGGCAGCATTTTCACTCTCCCTATAAACAACCTTTTAAAATTTTTATGGCTCATCCTTCCATTGTTTGTGTTTAGTATATAAGGAATTAACATTAATATACTTAATTAATAATTAATATTATATTAATAATTTAATTAATATATTAATATTCATATCTGTTCTCAGATAAAAGGTAACATGCCATATATACTTGACTGTTGTTTTTTTTTTAACTTAATATATTCCAGAGACCACTGCAGAAGCACGTGGAGAGCGGTCCTGGGAGGCTCTTTGATTGACCTCGCTGGGGTTTATGTCAGGGAGGAGGCTGGCGGGGGATGGATGACGACATGGAGACCCTCAAGGACGAGGAGGACGCCCTGTGGGAGAACGTGGAGTGCAACCGGCACATGCTGAGTCGCTACATCAACCCGGCCAAGCTCACCCCCTACCTGCGCCAGTGCAAGGTCATCGATGAGCAAGACGAAGATGAAGTGCTTAACGCGCCCATGCTGCCGTCCAAGATCAACCGGGCAGGTAAGGCAGGAGGAGGCTTGTAGGGAGGAGGCCGGGCCATCCCGCCAGGCTGCCCCAGGACTTACCCTCCACTTAGCTGGGCCAAAGTGGGGTTCAAAAATCCTGACATCCAGAGGCCGCTGCCCACTCCTGTCCCCTCCCAAAGCTGTCTGTGTATAGAACTCCAAGGATCTATGAACTTGGGGAAGGGTGGAATTACATCTTGATTTTATAAACTTCAACTGAAATTTAGCCTTGCCTTCAATTACGCATGACAGCAGGTGACCGCAGCAGCCATAGGTAACCTCTGACTCTGTCAAGAGTAAAAATTACAGGTATCTCTATGTCACATTACAGCTTTGCAGATGTTTTAAAATACCATTTGCACTCCTCTCTGTTGAAATTACAGTAGTTATTAGACCTGCCAAGAGATCTTGTTATTTAATGCATTAACAAAGAAATACATCTATTACTAAATCACAAATGTGTTTAATATTTGATACCTGGATTTTATTACAATTGGTTTCCTTTGTAACCCAAGGTATTTAATTTGTTTAAAACTATTATTCTGGAAAGGGATCCTCAGCCTTTTCTAAAGTGCCTGGCAGGGGGTGGGCGGAGGGGGAAGGGGCACGGGAATTGACCATACTCGGTAAAGGTGGTGTGTTTCTGGAACTTGTTTTATTGTTTATATGTACACATATGCTTCTATACTCATCCTTGTGTATGGGCACTGCCAAGTCATGGTGTAAAATGTATTTCTTTCTGTGGATCACAGTTGAAGAAGCTTGGAAATCCCTGTCCCACAGCATGGCTGATAAGTGGCTCATATGCTGTGACTCTCCTCTGCATTCACAGCAGACATCCTTAATTAATCACAGCGTGCTTTCCCACCGAGCTTGGATATAACTTTGGAATCCTTCTCAACACAGTGCTCCAGGCAGCTTCCTCAAACCATCAGGATTCACACAAGATGAAATGTATTTATCATATCTGTCCTAGGGAAAAGATGGAGTTTTAGGGCCTAAATGGAAGAAATATCTGAAAATAAAACACTTAAGGATGGGACAGGAAGTATAAACAATAAGTGGAATGACTACGGTCTTAAGCCTTTTTTTTTTCCATCACTACAACAAAATAACTGACACAAGACAACTTTATAAAGAAAAGAGGTTTATTTAGCTCACAGTTTTAGAAATCTAAGGGCAGAGCACTAGCATCAACTCGGCTCTGGGGAGGACCCTCTTGGCTACATTCTATAACAGCAGGAGTAAATAAGGAAGAGATCACAATGCCCAGCAGGAAATCAGAGAAAGACTGAGATCTCACAATCCTTTCCAGGAGCACACCCCCAAATGACCTAAGGACTGACCTCTGGGCCCTATTTCTTAAAGGTCTCCACCACCTAGTATCTCCACACCAAGGACTAAGCTCCCAGCACATGACCCTCTGGGGACAAACAACATCCAAACCACAGAAATTAGATGGAAACTGGAAGTTGCTAGCAGATTACATCAAGATAAAGATGTTTCCAGACTGTGTGTGATAATCCCAAAGAAGAACAGGGAGCAGTGCCTCTTTCCTATGACTTCTCCAAAAGCTTCCCACCCACCAAGTTGTTTTCCTGCTCTGAATCCCAGAGAAGCCTGCATGATTCCCTGTACTTCTACCCTCCTTCAATCAGAAAAGCTGGTACCCATATGGTTCATTTTAGTGCTGGTCCATTGGGGAGTTCTGCGGGTTTCATGTGGCTGCAATTCCCTTCATCCCAGTTCTAGCAATTTTTAGAGAAAGAAAAGGGGGCACTCACTGTATCCCTGCTGAGGGCCTGGCCCTTTGTAGACATTATATGGATTCCATGATACAACCCAGGAGTGACCGAACCTGGTGAGGGTCTTCTTAGAGCTTATTGAGGAATATAAGTCCAGGATAAGACTGGCCATGGAGACTTGTGTCCAGTCACACATGTATTCTTCTTCTCATGGGATGATCTGGACTTTCCTCTAGGCCGACTATTGGACATTCTACACACCAAAGGGCAAAGAGGCTATGTGGTCTTCTTGGAGAGCCTGGAGTTTTACTACCCAGAACTGTACAAGCTGGTGACGGGGAAGGAGCCCACCCGGAGGTTCTCCACCATCGTGGGTAAGCAACTTGGCCATCGGGGATACCCGGACTCTAAGAAAGGGTGTGTGTGTGTGTGTATGTGTGTGTGTGTGTGTGTGTGTGTCCCACAGCAGGGCAGTTTTAAAGCTGCAAGTCTGTGATATATGGGATTTGGGGCTATCCATCACACAGTCTGCCTGGGAATGAAAGGTAGATGACAGGGACAGACTGAAGCAGGGGCCAAGAGAAGTGAGCATTGGCGGAGCCTCCCCATGCATGGTATGGGAGCAGGTTAGAAGTCCACTCTGCCCTTGGGATCTTTTCCTTGTCTCCTCTACTCCCTTTCCAATGTCCCAGGGTCCTTGGGCATCTCATCTTCTTCATCTTCCTTCCTAAGCATTTAAAAAAAAAATTTTTTTTTTTAGTTGTAGCTGGACACAATACCTTTATTTTATTTTATTTTTGTATGTGGTGCTGGGGATCAAACCCAGCACCTTGCACGTGCTAGGCTAATGCTCTACCTCTGAGCCACAACCTCAGCCCCGCTGCCTAAACATTTTTTAAATCACTCTTCTCCCTGTCTCAGACACTCCAACCCCATCAACCCCCTTCATCCATTCTTGGTCTGCTCCAATGCTCTCTCCAGTCTCATGCTACCCTCCCCTGCCTAAAATCCTTCAGTGGTTTTCCATTGTTTCTCGGTAAAGACTCAGGTCTTTAATGGGACCCACAAGGACCCTAACTAACACTCTAGTCCCTGCTGAGACTCCCTGGCTCATTTTTCTGCCCCTCCCTCCCTCTCCTCTCTCCTTTCTTCTCTTTCCTCCTCTTCCTCCTCCTCCTCCCCTAGCCTGCCCTCTTCTCCTCTCTCTCTGGGCTCTCCACTTTTTTTTTTATGGACTGGGGATTGAACTCAGAGTCACTCAACAACCGAGCCACATCCTCAGCCCTATTTTGTATTTTATTTAGAGACAGGGTCTCATTGAGTGAGTTAGCGCCTCACTTTTGCTGAGGCTGGCTTTAAACTCGCAATCCTCCTGCCTCAGCCTCCCCATCCACTGGGATTAGAGGTGTGCGCCACCATGCCCGGCTGGGCTCAGCCACTTTGGTCTTCCTTTAGCTCCTGAAACATGCCAAGACCTTCTCTCCTCCCCATGTGGCCTTGGCAATGTTGTTCCACCTTCCTAGAATAACTTACCCTCCTGAACTGAACATTTCGGCTTGGCCATCAGGGGCCTTCCACCCCCTCTAGGCACCAGCCTGGATCTGGTCCGTCATTATAAAGTCTCAGGGCCGCCTGTGTCTTGACTCTAGTGACACCTGTGTGTGATCATTCGACCGTTTTGCTCACCCTGAGTCCCCGGTGCCTAATGGGCAGTAAGAGCCAATAAGATGTTGGTGAGTGAATGAGTGAGCGAATATCACCTGCCCCATCGGGAACCTCTTCCGTGCCCTGCCGGGTCCTGGGGCCTGACTGGGTGCCCCTGTGCGCAGTGGAGGAGGGCCACGAGGGCCTCACGCACTTCTTGATGAACGAGGTCATCAAGCTGCAGCAGCAGATGAAGGCCAAGGACCTCCAGCGCTGCGAGCTGCTGGCCAAGGCGCGGCAGCTGGAGGACGAGAAGAAGCAGCTGACGCTGACCCGGGTGGAGCTGCTGACCTTCCAGGAGCGGTACTACAAGATGAAGGAAGAGCGGGACGGCTACAACGAGGAGCTGGTCAAGGTCAAGGACGACAACTACACCTTGGCCATGCGCTACGCCCAGCTCAGCGAAGAGAAAAACATGGCCGTGATGCGAAGCCGGGACCTCCAACTCGAGGTAGGGGCTCGGAGGGCTCCTCCCAGGCTGAGCCAAGGGGAAGCTGGGGCCTCAGGACCCCAGCGGGCACGTGCCGACGCGCATGTGCGTGCACACATACCCACAATCCCTCAGAGCTTCATGCGCAGGTAGGAGACAGGGAACCAAGGGGCCAGTGGTTCCAGGTTCCCAGATCCACCATGCGCATGCGTGCAGGCACCCACTGGTGCCTCGGGCTCAGCCAACCAAAGCCTCTGTGTGCATATTCAGACTTGCGCATAAAGACGCAGTAGAGCTTAGTACTACCTTGACCTTCACTGTGCATGCTCTGCACATGTGCAGAAATGTGCACACAGGCTCCACGCCGCCAAGGTAAAAAGAAAAAAAGAAAGAAAGAAAGAAAGGAAAAAAATGGGAAACTAGGGTTTCAGTGGCAAGAGGAGAAATATGAGACCCAGGCCCCAGATTATGATGCTTAGAGAAATTAGTAAGGAAATGAGCGTAGCCCCTGCTCCTAGGGAATGAACTTCTCAAGGCTAGGACTCTTTGTCCATCACGATTGTATCCACAAAGTTCAGCTGGTTCTTGGCATAGTGGGAAAATCCGTGCATGTACCAGTGAACGACCCACCAGCCACATGATTGACGTGATTAATGAAGTTTGCCTCCTAATGCAGAAAGAGAAAGGAATTCGCTTCATTCATTTCTTCTATTTATTGAGCGCCGCCGTGCATCCGCTCTATTCCAGAAATATAAATCTCAAGACTAAGGTCCTCCTGTCATGGAACGTACATTATAATCAGAAAACAAATACATAAATAGTTTGAGTGCTATGGAGAAGACAGAATGAGGATAGAGAGTGGTGGAGCTGTTTTATCTAGGGTGGTCAGGAAAAGTCTCTGAGCAGGGGACACCTAAGAAAGGGAGGGAACCTGGAAAGTCAGAGGAAATGCAAATGCAAAGGTCCCAAGTAGGAGTAGGGAGGAAGCTTGGCAGTTTTTGTTTTTGTTGTTGTTGTTGTTGTTATTTGTTTGTTTTGGGTGACATCAGGGAGCCAGCAGGGCAGGGCGGCCAGATGAGCAAATGGTATAACAAAAAGAAACTGGGAGAGGTGGCCAGGGTCCAGATCATAGGAGCATAGTAAGAAATTTGGAATTTATTCCATCTGTGATAGGAAGCCACTGAAGGATTGAGAGCTGAGGAGTAACAGCTGATTTATATCTTAGAAGGATCACTCCGGCTTCTGGGTGGAAAACAGACCTCAGAATATTTATTAAGCACCTGCCATGTGTAAGGCACTGTGCTAAGCACTGTGGGGGACATGGGGATAAATAACCTGAGCTCTGCCCGGGTCACTTACAATTTAGTGAGGCAGACAGATCAGTAAACAATCCTCAAGAATTCAGGGGAGTTGAGTCCATAGCAATAGGGCATTGCAGTTAAGAGCATGAACTGTGAAGTCCTATGGGTTTGAGTTCAAATTCTGGCTTCTGGCTCCCCCACTTCCTTGGCTTCAGTTTTTATTTGTAAGTGGTGATAAAGAAGATAAAACCTGGGCTGGGGCTGTGGCTCAGTGGTAGAGTGCTTACCTAGCATGTGTGAGGCACTGACTGGGTTCGATTCTCAGCACCGCATATATATCAGTAAGATAAAGATCCATTGACAACTAAAAAATATTTAAAAAGAAAAAGAGAATAAAACCTGTGCCCTGGGATTGTTGAGGTGTTGCACCCTATGTTTTTGGCAGAGTAAGCCCTGTACTTTGTGGGACTGGGGATCTGCCCCAGCCTAGGATGCTTCAGTTGATCTTCAAAGACACTGAAGGGGAATTTTGTTGCATGACCAGGAGGAGAGGTTTCTGTGCCGTTTTCCGCAGGGCCAGGGGGAAGTTAACCTGCAGCAAGTGAACTTAGAAAGTTTCTCTCTTAGAACTTCCTGCTGTATAATGTTTCCTTGAAGACATATTAATAATGAGAAAGTGTGTGTAGCATTGAAAGAACACCCAGTGAGCTGAGTCCCTAGGTCGTCTCTCTGCCGCAGGCTGCTTCCCTGTGTGCCCCTTTCTCCCGTGTCTCAGGCCACACTGTGCAGTAGCACTCCTTTCCTTGCTACCTGCCAGATTTCTTGAGGCTGATCTCCCTACAAGCCTAGATTTGAAAAATGACACCTGCTCCTCTGGCGTCTCCCTTCCTTGCAGCCCTTGAGTGCAGTGCGAGGTCCCTTAGCTTGAGGAAGCAGAGAAGCTTAGTCACAAAGGCTCAAGATACCTGCTGAGCCCAGTTCCTGATGCTAAACTCTTGAGGGTGATGCTTGACACAGCTGCAGTCATGCTTTTCAGAGGCAGCTGCTGCTTCTCCAGGAGGTCACTCTTCCAGACACTAAATCCAGGCAGGTCCTTCAGGCCAGAGGTCCCAAAGACTTAGACTCCCCTGAGTTTCAAGCTGATTTTTGTTTTGTTGTTTTTAGAAGTAGTGCAGTGTGTTCAAATAAAGTCTGGTGTGGATTCCAAGAGGACAGAATCATCCAAAAGCAGAGCTGCTCTGAGGACTGAAGTCAGGGTGGTGGCCAGATCTCTGGCTTCTCAGCCATCTTTTGCCTCCCTCCCATCACCCTGCGGTTCTCCAGGGGAAGCCCTGAGTTCCAAGGACCCGTTTGAAACCCATCATAAAAGGCCACTGAAAACAGTAGCAGATGCTAGGGCGACACCTACTTGGGTATCCTAATCTGGAACCTGTTCTATCCTACAAATTTCTCTGAGAGAATTTTCTAAGGGACAGATAGCTCTTTAGAAGTATTCTAATGTGGCATCTATACACAATGGAATTTTACTCAGCAATAAAAGAGAGTAAAATCATGACCATTTGCAGGTAAATGGATGGAGTTGGAGAAGATAATGCTAAGTGAAGTTAGCCAATTCCAAAAAAACAAATGCTGAATGTTTTCTCTGATATAAGGAGTCTGACTCATAGTGGGGTAGGGAGGGGGAGCATGGGAAGAACAGATGAACTCTAGATAGGACAGAGGGGTGGGAGGGAAAGAGAGGGGGCAGGGGATTAGCAAGGATGGTGGAATGTGATGAGCATCATTATCCAAAGTACAGGTATGAAGACACGAATTAGTGTCGACATACTTTATATACAACCAGAGACATGAAAAATTGTGCTGTAATAAGAATTATAATACATTCCACTGACATTTGTTTTTTTTAAATCAATTTTTAAAAATTCCAGATACAAAAAAAAAAAATTAACTCATCGGGAACTCTTCATCAACAAGGAGATGATGATGTGGTTTCCTGCAGAAAGTTTCTGTGAGCCTTTCCCCACCTCCAGCTGGAAGGAGGAGGAGAGGGCAGAACCTAGCTGGTGCTGGAAGCCCAGTGGGATCTGGGCTTCTGTTTCTTGCCAATGGCCTTCTCCCCTCACCCTCTTGGGCGTTTCAGATCGATCAACTCAAGCACCGATTGAACAAGATGGAAGAGGAATGTAAGCTGGAGAGAAATCAGTCGCTGAAACTGAAGAATGACATCGAGAATCGGCCCAAGAAGGAGCAGGTCCTGGAATTGGAGCGGGAGAATGAGATGCTCAAGACCAAGATCCAGGAGCTGCAGTCCATCATCCAGGTGAGGGCATGCCTACCTGGGTGTGCGTCCAGAGCCTCGGCTTGCTGACGGCACATGACCTGTGCCATCCCCAGGCACCACACTCTCCTCCTCTGTGAGGTGGGAGTGACCAAGCCACCCCGCATCAGAGATGTCCCATTATGGGAGATCATACTTACAAACACATTTCCTTCCTGGAAGCACTCTGTGAAAGCCACATGGAAATCAGTGTCCTGGTGCTGAGGGAAGAGCATGTCAAAAAACCTCCCTGTTCTTAAAGATTCCAAAAACCTCAACCATGCGCTCTGTGCATACACCTCCTGTCTTGGTCATCCCAGAATCCTGTCTGGACAGAGGGGGGACATCACTGAGGAATCATATTCCAAAGTGCATCTGCAGAGAAGGAAAATAAAATGCATCCCCCCTGCTCTCTCCAGGGTGATCCCCCAGGACTACCACCCAGGGCTTGGGGCTCTGTTTCCGAGCAGAGGCTGAACCCGGTTTATCAGAGCAGAGTTGATATTTCCAGGGTGGTGTCTGGAAGGCAGAGTGGCCTCCCTTTGTTGTCAGCTCTGAAGTGTTCTGAGGAGCAGCCAGTGTCAGCTTGGCTCTGATAAGAGCTGGGAGAACAATAGGCTCAGTGTATTCCTGAGAAGAAGTGGGTCTTACGCTTCTTTCCAGGTGATAAACTTCTTTAAGTAATAAGCTGCTTAAAGACCCCAAGAGAAATCTCTGCCTGCCTCTGCTTTCCTGCAGAAACAGAACTTTCTGTTCTCTCAGCATCTGTGGCTGAGTCTGTCATCCCTGCCTTCCGTGTCCACCTTGTTCCCCGCCCCTAACCCCAACACCATCAAACCCCTGCTACCTGTCCACTCAGGCCGGCAAACGCAGCCTGCCAGACTCAGACAAGGCCATCCTGGACATCCTGGAGCATGACCGGAAAGAGGCACTGGAGGACCGGCAGGAGCTCGTCAACAAAATCTACAACTTGCAGGAGGAGGTCCGCCAGGCAGAGGAGCTTCGAGACAAGGTGGGAGCCAAGGCCACAGCAGTGTCCCCTCCTTACCAGGGTGCACCAGTGAGTGCTACCTGGAGCCCCACGTTTCTTTCCAGGGACTGGATCTGCCCCTGGTATAAAGTTACTCTGCTCCCTTGGAGTCTTTTATGAGTTTTAAGTATGAGCTTAGCTTAGCACCTGTCTTCCCCTTCCTGAGCAAGGAAGCCACAGGAAGACAGGCACCGTGTCCACACTGTCCTCCCCCATATTACCTGGTACATAGTAGGTCCTCAGCAGTCCACAGTTGATTGACTGGCCTAGCTTGGTGCCTTTCAGTCAGATCACTAGACCCCAGAAGGACAGGCTGAGCACACCAGCTCAGAGAGGTGCAGCCAGGAAACAGCTGTTGGCCCTGACCTATTGATTGCTCAATATGCGTATTGATTTCTCCATGTTGCTTATAGTACTTGGAGGAAAAGGAAGACCTGGAGCTCAGGTGCTCGACCCTGGGGAAAGACTGTGAAATGTACAAGCACCGTATGAACACGGTCATGCTGCAGCTGGAGGAGGTGGAGCGAGAGCGGGACCAGGTATGAGTGCCACCCAGAGAGTGGGGGACCACAGGCTGCACTACAGGGCTCCTGGCCCAGCCACTGGGGTCCTTCAGAGAGTTTTGACCAGTGTAATGTCACTGACTACATGGGGAATTACTCATGACTCTGTCTTTCCTACTTCTGTTCCAAACATGAATTCTATCCCAAGAGGCTTTGAGATCCATGGCATTTGGTGACCGGGGTGCATGGGGTAGGGAGGAGAGCCAGGTCCAGTGGGCCACATAATAGCACGGTGCTCAAATGCCTGGACTCTTTAGTGAGGACAGGTCCAGAGGCAAGCCATCGTTCATAAGATGTGTGCCCACAGGCAAGCTGCCCCACTGAAGCCTCCATCCTTGTCTGTAAAAGGAGAATTGTTAACATAGCACCGCCCCATAGAGCTGGCACGTAGCATAGGCAGGACAGACGGCCCTGGGATGGCACTAATGAAGAGGGCAGAGACGACACCCAAGAGTCAGGGCCAGGAAAGAAGTGATGGAGATTACAGCCGACACCTGAACTAGAGATGATGTGTGGCTCCAGCCCGCTTTGATTGGGTCAGGCTGAGGCACCCAAGTGGCCCTTCTCACCTCCCGCCACAGGCCTTCCATTCCCGAGACGAAGCGCAGACTCAGTACTCGCAGTGCTTGATCGAGAAAGACAAGTACCGGAAACAGATCCGGGAGCTGGAGGAGAAGAACGACGAGATGAGGATCGAGATGGTGCGGCGGGAAGCCTGCATCGTCAACCTGGAGAGCAAGCTCCGCCGCCTCTCCAAGGACAACGGCAGCCTCGACCAGGTGGGCCAGGCGAGCTGCAGCTCCAACCTGCCGCCAGCTGCCCTCCTGACACCAGGGACAGCTGGCCAGGGAACCACCACTGTGAAGGGGCTTTTTGTCCATTTGAAGGCAGAAGTACACGGTTCCCTCCCACGTAGAATAACCTATGTCCTTCTTTGAACCTTCCATGTGTGTCTCTGTTGTGTTGAGCAGAAGCCACTCGCCTCATCTCGAAGGTAGAGGGTAGAATCCTGGCTCAGACAGGCAGCTCCACCATTAGGAGCTTTGGCACCTCTCAGTTGACCACAGTCAACTTCCCCTGGGCTCCCCCTGCCAACTGCACAGTCCTCAGTTTTAAAATGCCCTGCTCTTGTTAAAGCTGCCGGTGCCCCTGAGTAAACCCACTGATGGGCAGGTGAGTGGCAGAGTGCATTTCCCAGCAGGCCCCAGCACCCAGGAATGAGTGAATGCTGCACCCGGCCAGATGAGATCATGGTCACTGTAGTGAGAACCTGCCGGGCACAGTCCTGGGCAGGTGCAGTGCAGGTCCYTCGCAGCCCACAGAACTATCCTTCAGGGAAGCTGCACTTACTGTCCTCATTTACAAACGGAAGGGACCAAGATGCAAGAGCTGAGTCACTGTGACTCACCAGAGCCCTGGGGAGACTGATCGGAATCCCTTCTCCCCCTGAGCAGACAGAATCCCACAGTGGAGGCAAATACAGGGACGTGGTTTCTCAGCACAGAACTTGTGAATTCCAAGTTCAAGGGTGCCATGGGAGCCCAGGGAGAGTCCCTTCTAGGTTATAGGAAGACCCCCTGCAGAAGGATCCCGGCACAGCCTCAGGCCCCCTCCCGGGATGCTTACCTGGTGTTGCTGAGTGCCCCTCTCAGGGGGACCAGGATCCTGTGATGTGCTCTCATGTGGCCTTTGAGTGAAGTCCTCTCTGTTCCCATCACCAACCTAGTGCTAAGCCCAGAGAGAGCCCTGGTGAGTGCCTGCCCAAGGCATGCATGATGCTGGGCAGGACCAGCATGCCGGGCCACTGGGACAGCATGAGCAGAGCCCCAGAAGTGAGGCCTGGCAGGCAGGTGGCCGTCTGTGGACTGGGATATGAGGAGAGGACAGAAGAGAGCACAGGCAAGTCAAGGTTCCCTGAGTGCCCTGAGGGGTGTGCTGCTGTTCTGGGACCTTGGGGGGTCTTGTGCAGTACTCGCATGATTTTAGCTGAGGCATGGGGCTAGATGTTGGAAGGCAAGGGAGGCCAGGGTGAAGGGGCAGAGRCAGCCCCTTCACCACTGCACAAGAAGGTGGGGGCCTGGCCCAGGCCCTGCTGAGGTCAGAGGAGTGTGGAGCTAGGATATCGCCCATGGCGTCCAGGGAGACGCCGGGTCAGGAAAGAGGAGGAGCCGTTGGGTGTCAAGCTTGGGTGCCAGAGGGGACAATGGTGCCATTGGTCACCTATTCTGCTGACGGCCAGCTGCTTATCACACCTGTCTCCATCACTGGCTTCTCTGACTCCAGAGTCTGCCCAGGAACCTGCCAGCCACCATCATCTCACAGAACTTTGGGGATGCCAGCCCCAGAGTTAAYGGTCAAGAGGCTGACGATTCTTCCACCTCGGAGGAGTCACCTGAAGACAGCAAGTACTTCCTGCCCTACCACCCGCCCCGGCGCAGGATGAACCTGAAGGGCATCCAGGTACCTGGGCACAGGGGCCCACAGCAGGGCAGACACCAAGTCAGACCTCCCCAAGGGGGGAGGTGCCCGGGGTACGGCCCCCCCAGGCTGTGCCTGGCTCTGCTTAGGTCTTGGGCATCCAGGTTCACTTGACGAGTTTCATCCCTGGAAACAGAAATGATGCCAAGTTAGGGTTTTTATTTTTTTGTTTTGTTTTGTTTTTGTTTACACGGATCCCATTTCTCCCATAAGAGAAAGGAAAAGAGAGTGAAGTAAGCATTAGTTTCAAGTTCATTTGCTTATTTACCAAATAAGCATTGAGTGCCTGTCACAGTCTGATCCCAACTGTATTGCTCAGTGCCCAGCACAGTCCCCCTCAAATGGCTGACTCGATGAAGAGTGAATGAGCCAGAAAGTGCATGAGCAAATGGGACCATGTCATCAGGCCTGACCTGCCTCTGCCTCTCTCACCTGGGGGCCAAGGGTGGTGGGCAGCCTCATCCTTTTCTAAAACCCCTTGCCCTGTGCACCCAGCTGTGCCCCATCCTAGCTCCTCTGCCACGCTGAGAGCTGTGGGGCAGGCCTTGGGGAACTTGGGCCAGCACCTGCCTGGTCAAAGTCCAGGGGAGCTCCCTCAGTGTCCCAGCCCAGGGGCAGGAGACCCACGACTCGGATGACCACGCCAACCATGCTTTGAGAGGCAGGATAGTCTTGCCTGGTTTTTATTTTTTTCTTAGTGCCAATGACATGTGTCTAGGGCCCTGTTTGATTTGTGTCCTCTGTCTTGTTTCTTCCCCTCCCCTCTCTTTCAGCTGCAGAGAGCCAAATCCCCCATCAGCCTGAAGCGAGCGTCGGATTTTCAAGGTTAGTGAGAGACGCCCGGATCCCTCTCTCCCTGCCTCATCTGTCGCTCTGCCTCTCCTGGTCCATCTGTTTCTCCCACTGCAGCCATCAACCCTGCAGGGCCGACCTGGGTGGGACCTTGGGGGTCTCAGGGTGGCGAGAGCCCATTAGGTAGTGATTAATGTTCATCATGATCCCAAGTGCACAGGGGCCCTGCCCACCACCTCGCCCTGGGTTTCCCTCCCCCACCCAGTGCCTCTGTGCTGGGGACCTGCCGGGYGGGGACTTCCTGACCTTCCTCCACACCCTGGCTGGGCAGAGCCCAGGCTGGGGAGGCTGCCGGTTCCCCCGGGAGCCCCTGGGTCTCCCAGACACACTGACTGGAGGTCCTTCTTTTGTCCTCGCCACACATCAGGGTGATGATCAGCTGCGGATGGTTTGTTAGGCAAATGCATACCCACCATGTTCAGGAAGGTTCAGGAAGATGTGCTGGGGGAAAGCGTCACAGGCCACCCGAGGGAGCAGCTAAGGGCCTGGGACGTTTCAACTGGGCCTTGAAAAGGGAGGATTTGGGTGGATGGTCCCAGTGTCTGGAAGGACCACTCTGCAGAGGGGCAGCAGAGAGAAAGGGGAGGAGCCCAGGTGGGATGCCATGTGGGAGGTGCTCTGCCATCCCAGAGGATAGAGAGGAACCCCCAGGGGGCCCGAGAGCTATACCAAGCATGAGATCTTCACCCTGCCCTGGTGACAGCCTCCAGGTGGCTTTGAGGGAACAGTTCAGACCTGGGCTTTGGGCAGGTTTCTTGGGGCATGGAGGGAGGAGGGGGAGGCCTGATCCAGGTCCCACGTGACTACATCTCAGTAGCCTTCTTTATCAAAAGGGACATGCACTGGGCCTGGAGCCCGCAGCAAGCAGAGAGTATTGTCCCCCAAAGGAAGAGAAAGGACGCTGCAAGATCATGGGGCTTCTTCGTCCCTCACCAAACCTGATGAGGGCCTAGTGCACGGTTTCTCCCCTGGAGGTGGCCACAGACGGGCTGCRTGTCTGTGTATCTGTGTGCATGCTAAGTGAGGTAGAGGTGGAGAGATGGGGTAGCAGAGCTGTCAGACAAGGGCTGCCAGGGGTGGCACAGACTTGTCCCATTGTCCTTGGCCCACGTCAGCAGGATGTGGTGATCCGTCAGGATGAAAGACTAATTGGGCAGTGATAGGCTCCCCTGAAGCTTATGCTCCTTAGAGGAGGCCCTGTCCACAGAGAGCTCCCACTAGGGACCCGTGTGGGGAATGCCATGAAAGACTTCAGGGACAAGTGACACTGTTCAGCCTTATCTGGGTCGGGCCTGGATGGGGGCAGGGTCCGTTGCTGACGGGACCCAACTGCAGCAGCCTGTAGCTGGGAGGGGAAATGAGAATATTGGGGGCACTGTTCCTCCAGGTACCAGAAAATGGAGGGCAGGTCCCCAAGGGGAAGGAGGCAAGAGGTTTGGGGCACCTGACATCCCTTGTCTTCCCTTTTCTCTCCTCTCTTGTTTCTACTTCCAACCCTTCCACCCCTCCCTGTTGCCCCTCTGATGAGGACAGGCAAGGGACTTGAAGACAGGGATGCCAGCCCCAGCTCCTCCCACTCTCTGCCCATCACCAGCTCCTTCTCCAAGATGGTAAGTGCGGGCTGCTCCACTTGGTCAGCCCCCACCCCTCCAGAACGCTGTCCCCCCGGGCTGCCAGCTTATGCACCTGAAGGCCCCAACCCACCTCTCTGTCCTTCCCAAGCCCAGGTCTGGTAGCTAAGTCCCTGTCCACCCTGGTCTGCAGCCCAGGTCTTCCTTGCGTTTATTTAAAAATGTTTCTACAGCCTCACAATGGATTTGCACTCTCTTGCCACCTCCTTTCCCAATTTAACACTTGGCAGGGGGAGGAGCTGGGCCTTGGGCTGTAGCACAGCGTGGGCTCAGAACGCCACACCGCAACCTTGCAGCCGGGTGATCTATGAAGCCTGGAAGGGTGAGCAGGACAGGAACTGCTTATGCTCGCATCCCCTCCCATGACCAACACCTCCACTCCTCGGCTGTAGACCCCCTGAGCAGAGCCGCCAGGGTCCCAGCCACTAGATCCAATGTCACTCACCTCCAGCCAGGCAGCAGAAGGCCAGGATTAGAAATTCTAACCCCGAGGGAAGCCCCAGGAAGCTTGTCAGCGCAGCTTCCCAAATCAGGCCCTGGGGGAGGCAGAGATGCTGTAATGAATGAGTCCTGTCTGGTGGCAGCTCTTGGGGACAGAATCCAAGGCTCATATTTGAGGCAGCCTTTGCCAGAAGCCTGCCGGCTTGGTTTCCCAGGTCACCCCCAAGCTGTCCCCACCCTCCCCAGCCCACAATCATCATCATGTCCAGAGCAGGCACAATCCAGGGACACGGAGCTCAGTCTATGCAGGGACGGAGCTCAGTCTATGCAGGGTCGTGAGGCCCCGCCCTGGCCTCCCAGCCTCTGTGGTTCCCGCCAGCATCCTCCCGTGAGCAGATGTGAGAGCAGATGTGCTTCAAGCTCAGCAGGCCCCGCGGGCTGAGCACAGGCCTCCTCTGGCCAAGGTCGCCGCTAAGGACCAGCTTGCTGTGCCTGTGCTGCCTGAGCTGGGGAGGAGAACAAATCCGAGTTAGATTTTGTCCCTGTGTATATAACATTGATGCCGGCAGAGGCATCAGCACACAGCTCCCCACCTCCCATGACACCTCTGCGCCGTATGTTTGAAGCAGCCCCATCGAAGCCGCAGCAGTATCATGTCCATCACTGCCGAGCCCCCAGGAAACGACTCCATCGTCAGGCGCTGTAAGGAGGATGCCCAGCTCCGCAGGTGAGTGGCAGTTCGAGTAGGGGCGGCGGCCAGCTCCTCAGTCGTCTCCAGGCCACTGTGTACTCCCTAACTTAGCGGTCCTTGCAGCCAACTCAAAAGGTGGGCAGGAGGGACCCTCTGTATAGATGAGGAAGCCACAGTTCAGAGAAGGGAAGCAGGCTTCTTCCCAAGGCTACCTGCTAACTGTCAGATGGCAAAGCCTGAGTCCCTTGTCCCCATGCTGCCCGAAATCAGGTTCCTAGGTCCTATGACCCCAGAGCTTGGGCTCTTTCTGCCAAAGAGCAAAAGCCCCCCAAAATGGCTTCCACACTTCTTGTCCCCATCTTCTTTATCTCCCAAAACTCACCAGGGCCCTTGACCAGGAAAACAACAGTAGAGGTGCACTCACCGACAGGGGTCACTAGTCAGGCCGAGGCCAGCACACAGCACACTCATGTGTCAGGGGTGCAGGGCCCAGAGGAAGACATGGCCCCAGGAGCTGGATTCACACCCCAGTCCTGTGGGACCCGGGTTTGGACCTCACCAGCCACCTGGCAGCTCCAGAGACCACCTGGGTCCCTCCCCAGCCTTGTCCACCCAGCTGTGTGATCACCCGTCTCCACAGTGGTACTCAACTCCAGCTTGGAGAGGTGTCTGAGGGACTTGGGGAAGCCATGTGGGGCAGCTGCRCGGGAGCCACCTGTACCTGTCATCTACTCCAAGAGCTGGGGGCAGTTGAGGTTTGCCCACCCACTCCCATCTGGAGGGTGCTCGGCTCTCTCAAGAGTCATCCAAGCACAAMGGGATGTCAGGTGCTCACTGTGTCTGAGGCTGAGAGGGAAATGCACGGCRGGAGGGGCCCCTGGGGCTCTGCTCACCTGCTGGAGGATGCTGGGCCATCCACCCTCCCAGCCCAGTTCCTGGCCCATCTCTTTTACCTTCCTGCTGTTCTTCCTCTCCCTCCTATACTGCCCTCTGGGAACCAAGACCTCTCAGAAAGCCAGAACATTCCAGAAGCCTCCCCCCTCCCTGGCCCTCCTGCACACACATTCACGACTACCCTCCCCAACCCTCCCCGTATCTCGCAGCACAGTCGAAGAAGACAACGACAGTGGCGGGTTCGACGCCTTGGACCTGGACGGTAGGTACCTGTCGGATCTGAGCCGTTTCACAGGTGCAGCAACCTGGTCCCCTGCAAGGTCTGCCTGGCACACAGTAGGGCCTCAGGAAATGTGTGGAGTGCTTTCAGAGAGTAGGCTTGGCGTGGAGATCAGGTGAGCTCACCTGTGGCAAGGAAATGCCCAGGTCTAGTGCTTACCTTGTAGGTTTTCAGGGCCCCCCCCCCCAGGTGCTAAGCAAGGGTTGGAATTAGATCTGAGTTTTTACAGAATAGTTCTCATGAATYGTAGCCATGCTCTGCGCGCCCGGCCCAGTTCCATCTCATCTCAGCTGCTGTCCTCAGAATTACAGTTGTGATCGTCTTGTGCAGTAGGTAGAGCCGGGCTGGAGACACATGTCATGCTGTTCCCACCCTACACAAAATGCATAAAGGGGGGCTGGAACTGTGAGGGTGAGCATCCAGGTAGGGGTACAGGCAGGCAGACATGGGGTACCCAGGCTGTGAGATGGTCCTGAAGCAGCCCTGTGGGCAGAGCTGGTATTAGGTAGATGCTGCAGACCTAGGTTCTGCCAGAAGCCACCCTCTCCCAGCCAGGAAGTCTGGTTCAGCCCAGCACACCTCACCAGGCTGTGCTTGGTGCCCAGGATACAGACTCCAGTCCCCAAGGCCTTGCCTGGCAAGACTGTGTGGTCCCAGCTCTGCAGCAGCTGGGTGGATGGACGCAGACCCACAAACTCGAGTCTGGAACATCAGAGAAAGGGGAGCAAGAGGCATTGAGATGGCCTCGCAGGGGACAGAGCCAAGGCCCAGAAATGTGATGGCATCCCCAGGCCCCTGCACAGCTGGCCGCCTGGGAGACCATGGCTCAGAATCCTCCGGGTGTGCCCTGCCAGCCCCCTTTGTTCCAGGGCTCCCCAACCCTGCCTCCGCGCCTTGCCAGGGGAGGCTGCCAGCAGATAAAACGAAAGATCAGTGGTCCCTCTTAATTGGGACCATCAGAAGCTATCAAGTGTTAAAGAGAGGTTAGCACCTAATCGAGGCTGGGTAATGAGAAGAATTGAAAGAGTTTTGGAAAGGGGATGCTGGGAAGAGAATCCTGGGCATCTGTCCAAAGTATTTTGCAGTGTCGGGAAAAATTCCCTATGCAGAGAGCCTTTGTTATCAGCCCAGAGCAGGATCTAGGCACCCCTCCACCCAGTGACCCGGTGCTGTGTGGAGTGGGCATCTTCCCGGGCTCTTCAGGGTCCTGCTGAGGTGGGGAGACAGGGAGGAGCCCAGTTCCACAGTCTGTGTTACTGGTGGGTGATAGGGAGACCTCAGCGGGGGTGGAGGGCCCCAAAATGAAAACCCAGGGAGCCAATTTCAAAGTAAAACTACCAACCGGATGGCACGCTSCCCTTGTAGACACAAGACAGGATTCCTAATGATAGTTGGTGAGGTTTCATAATAAGAGAGGATTCCTGGAGGCAGGGGACTKTCTACATTGGACAGGATGCAAGAACTCGACCATTTAGCCTGAGGCATAAGCAGGGYTGTGGGGCTGAGTGCCCCAGAGCCTGGGCCTGCCCCTGCTCAGCCCTCCCAGGGGGCCCAGGCAGCCCTCCGCGCTCCTCCTGGCTGCTCCCACTCCTGATGGGCCCTGGCTCCTTTGCAGACGACAGTCATGAGCGCAGCTCCTTTGGTCCACCGTCCATCCACTCCTCCTCCTCGTCCCACCAGTCTGAAGGCCTAGATGCCTATGACCTGGAGCAGGTCAACCTCATGTTTAGGAAATTCTCACTTGAAAGGTATGGATAGTTGCAGCATAAGGGGAAGCTGGCGGGGGGGAGGGGGGGTGTGGGAGGGCATGGGATAAATCTGTCGCCCCTCACCACCTGCATTACCCCCTGTCCTGGGATCTAGTCCTAGAATCACAACATTCCCAAGTCAGAAATCACCCCCTCTGACCCCCTGACTGTCCAGGGAGGAAAACCAAGCCCACAGAGGAAGAGCTTGCCTGGGGCCCAGGATGACCTGCTGGAGCCCAGAGAGCAGGGCTCAAAGGGCTCTTCCTGTGGTGGTGAGGAGTGGGCAGGGCAGGGTGGCCACCATAGGCCCTGGACAATGTCTCACCAGAGACACCCTCTCTGTGTTCCACAGAGGGCAACTCAGCTCTGCATCTCTTTCTTTGGTACCAGGGATTGAACCCAGGGGTGCTTAACCACTGAGCCACATCCCCAGCCCTTTTTTTGTATGTCATTTAGAGACAGGGTCTCCCTGAGTTGCTTAGGGCCTCACTAAGTTGCTGAGGCTGGCTTGGAACTCATGATCCTCCTGCCTCAGCYGCCCGAGATGCTGGGATTACAGGCGTGCACCACCGTCTCCAACAGGGCCAGTGGTGAGCCCTCACTTGACATGGCCAGCAAGGTGGCTTCAGTGGCAACTCTCTTGGAGCCACAACATGCAACACCCAGTATGTGACAGACACCAGCAGCTATGCCACCAGGATCCCCCTCCTCCAACCCTAACTACCACTTCATTTCCTGACCCCAGACCCTTCCGGCCCTCGGTCACATCTGTGGGGCACGTGCGGGGCCCTGGACCCTCAGTGCAGCACACAACGCTGAACGGYGACAGCCTCATCACCCAGCTCACCCTGCTGGGGGGCAACGCCCGCGGCAGCTTCATCCACTCAGTTAAGCCGGGCTCCCTGGCCGAGAAGGCAGGACTCCGCGAGGGCCACCAGCTGCTGCTGGTGAGGGGCTGGGTGCTCAGGGCTGTGTGGACAGGGGACAGGGGTGCCTCGGGCCTGGGTGGAGCTGGGAGTGGGGAGCTGGAGGGAAGGAGGCCATGCCATCAAGATCTCGAGCCCTTTCCTGCCCACTCCTCGCTGGTCGGTCGCTGTGCTCCCRGGAGCTAACAGAGGCGCATGCACCCCTCATGCTTTCTCCCCCCCACTGGCCCTGAGCTGGCAAGGGTGCTCCAGTGTCCTGTGTAGAGCAGTCTCAGCCCCGTGACTCCACTCACATGTCTTTGCCACCTAGCTGGAAGGCTGCATCAAAGGCGAGAGGCAGAGTGTCCCCTTGGACGCGTGCACAAAGGAGGAGGCCCGCTGGACCATCCAGAGGTGCAGTGGCCCCGTCACCCTGCACTACAAGGTCAACCAAGAAGGTGAGGTCTGGGCTGGACCAGCTCCACTCGAAGGCCCCTGACCTTGAGCGAGTGACCTCACCCCCTAGCACTCCACTTGCTCTTAGGTGCAGTGGGAAGAATGACTCCCCCCCCGCCCCCGCCAGCACTATCAGAGGGTCTGATGGGCAGGCCTTGGAGAGGAGGCAGGGACGGGCAGACAACCTGCCTGGGGTACCTCCAGATACCTGCCCATCAGAGTGGACCTGGCAGCCCAGCCTGGTCCAGCTGGCCCCTCCCTGCTGGGTGGAAGTTTCATCTCTTGGGCTTCCTGCTGTGCCACAGGTAACAGCCCTGGGGTGGCTCTGCTGGGCCAGGCAGGGCCCTGGAGCACATCTCAGCCCCCCAGCCCTGTGTCCATGGTCCCCCAGCCTCGGGGCAGGCGGGCCTCGACCTCCCTTCTGGTGTGGCCCCAGTGGTTTAAACCACGGCACCCCTTGGCCATGCTCCCGGGCAGGGTAAGCTCAGCTTTGTCTTTCCCAGAGTCTGAATTCTTCTCTCACCTCCAGGTTTCCTGCATGATTATCTCTGCAGCTGGGTCTTATTTTTAACTGCAGGCTCATGAATGTTTCAGCAGAGCATAAACATCCAGCTTCTCCAGCCGCTGTCACGTCCCTTCCCAGAGTGCCCTGCCAGTGYGGGAGTCGATGATGCTGTCCCCAAACACAGGGCCAAGTAGCCCCACATATGGGACAGGCTCCTCCCCGGTCCTGTGGCCTGGTCAGCCCCACAGAAAGTCTGTGCCTTGCGCACTGGCCAGCAGCCCCACAGAGCGCGCTGGGAGCCGCGCCCCTAAAAGTTGTGCACAGGGGGGTCCTGCAGCCTGGGACTCCAGGCAGAGCTGGCTCACTGCAGCGGGCTCCAAGATGCACTGCGTGAGACCGGGCCCCACCGTGCCCACTCAGCAGGACGCTGACCCAGCTGGCTGAGATGTCCCTGGAATTTGTGATGCAGATACCTGATGAGTTCCCCAGGGCCTGGCTGTTAGAACGGCTTTAGCTTCCTCCGTGTTATTTGTCATCTGCCTGTGGAGCCGATTTAGAGATTTACATCATGGACTTACACTATGGATATTCACTTAGCGCTTACTGCACTGGCAAAAATTTACTCAGAAGGACAGTGACATTTAAATAAGGTCGAAATGGCATGCAGTATGGTCTTACCAACTTAGAAAATCAATTGGTAGTATCTACCAAAGCAAAATATATAGATACAAAATATGTAGCTACCTGATAATTCTACTTCCAAGTAGACTTCCAAGAGAAGAGAGTACATATGTCCACCAAAAGCAATGTATAAGAGTAACTCATAGCAGTTACTCATGATAGCCCAAATTGCACACAAGAGAATGGAGAAAAGAGGAAGTATGGAATAGTAGTATACAGCCAGTACACTGCTGCTATGTTGTGACGTTACAGATGAATCTCACAGACATAACATTGAGCATAGTGGCTAAACCAGAAGAACTTATACTATTAATCTCTGTTGATATGAAATGAGGTACATCTTAGCAAGGGTGATAGCATTCAAGATAAAGATAAACCTTAGGAAAAGTATTGACAGAGAGGGTTGTACATTACATTTGTGAAAATATACTGAGTTAAAGATGCATGTGGTTTACTGTATATAAGTGATGCATCATTTAAAAATAAGGAATAAAACCGGGCATCATGGTGCACACACCCACAATCCCAACAACTTAGGAGGCTGAGGCAAGATGGCAAATTTGGCAAAACCCTGTCTCAAAATGAAAAAAAGAAACAAAAAGGATTGGGAATGTAGCTCAGTGGTAAAGCACCCCTGGGTTCAATCCCCAGTAAAAAAAGGAAAAAATTTTAAAAAAAAGAACCACATAAGGGTGGGAAAGGCATGGAGATTACAGCAGAAAGCTACTATGGATAATTGTTGCAACTTGGCATACATTGTAGCTCCGAGCTCCCTAGCAGCCAAGATAAAAAAGGAAACCCATAAATGCCGAGGCTGCTCTTTGCCCAGGGAATAGGGCTCTTCCCAGCCGGGAGCTCTTGAGAGGAGGGTGCCACACAGGCACATCGTCTGGGGGGGTGGTGGTGGCAGGAAGTAAATTTGCCACATTTGGGATGTCTGCTTCTTAGGGTACCGGAAGCTACTGAGAGACATGGAGGAGGGTCTGATCACCTCGGGGGACTCGTTCTACATCCGGCTGAACCTGAACATCTGCAGCCAGCTGGACGCCTGCTCCATGTCCCTGAGGTGTGACGACGTCGTGCACGTCAGGGACACCATGTACCAGGACAGGCACGAGTGGCTGTGTGCCCGGGTCGACCCTTTCACGGACCATGACCTGGACACAGGCACCATACCCAGCTACAGCCGGTGAGTCCTGAGCCTGGCGTGGCCTCTGCTCCCAGCCCAGGGGGAGACGTGGACAGGGCTGGCACTGCCATGATCGACTGCAAGGGGCTTGGGCCGCCAGATGAAAAGTCCCCCCCTTTGCCTGCTGAACCGTGGGGCCCCTCCTCCAGGAAGCTCCCCACCTGTACAGGGACGTTGCTCTGCCCCCCCACTGAGCCTCACAGTGCCCTCTTTCAGTCTGTGATGACCACACTCTGCCCTGTCCTGTAATCACTCCTCATTGCTGTCCCATGGGCCACAACCTGACAGCCATCCTCTCCTTAGCAGTGTGATCTGCCCTCTTAGGCCTCAGCACTGCAGTCCCCTCCTGTGACTCCTGAGGCTCTAACACAGCTTCTGAGGCCAGCCCTGCAAGGTGGCCATCAGCAGACCAGACGAGACAGGAGCCCTGGGCCTGTAGGCATGGTYCACACACAGCACCAGCCCCATGCTCTCCAGGGGTCCCTCAGGCTCAGCCCCTGCGGTCCACAGGGCCGTTCCCTCACAGAGCTAGGCTCACCCTCCTCCAGAGCCAGAGCTGGCCCTCGCTCTGTCCCAGCCCCTGAGGTTCCTCCTTCTGGCCTCCCCAGGGCCCAGCAGCTACTCCTGGTCAAGCTGCAGCGACTGATGCACCGGGGCAGCCGAGATGAGCCGGACACCGCCCACCACACCCTGAGGGCGCTCCGGGTAGGTGTGGCGCAGCCCTGTGGGGTGGCAGGGATGGCCACCTGTTCTAACAGCGTCCCCTGACATGACTGATGAATTCAGGGACTGGGTTCCTCAGGGAGGGACACACACCATCACCCCGGGCCAAGGAGCCCCATCCTCCTGTGCCCGCCTTGGGCTCCCACGTTCAAGGGGAGGAGGGTGGCTGCTGGAATCTGCCCTTGCTCTGCGCCTCTAGTCTCTGTGGGAGCAGGTCACCTTCCCTGAGCCTCCCCATCTGCTCCCCGATACCCGACAGGGATGGGGCTGGGGGATAGGTTTCTGCCTCTCTGCAGCGACATTACACTTGCGCATACTGCCAAGCCCGGCTGGGTCTGACTGATGGATAAACTCATTTCAGAACACCCTGCAGCCCGAGGAGCCACTTGCCACCAGCGACCCCCGGGTCAGCCCCCGCCTCTCCAGAGCCAGTTTCCTCTTTGGTCAGCTGCTTCAGGTGAGGGTCACCAGGTGCCTCCCGACTCTCCAGTCATTGCTGTGGCTCTGCCTCCCCCCACTAGGAAGAAAGGCCTGTCCCCAAATAGCTGCGCTTCGTGGTTTTACATCACGTACAATTTTTCACCGTGCCTTATGTCTCCCATCCCAGCTCGCCCTCTTGGGGACAGGTCAGTAAACAGTCTCTGCTTCTTTTAGAAGCAATTCCCATTTTTATTTAAAAAAAAAAAAAAAGGGTTTCAGGAAACTTGTGGCCAAAAGGAGCTTAAGCAACTTGGCTGTTGAAGCCTGAATAGAAAACTCAGAAGTAATRTATCAGGAAAAGAAAATCATTCCAAATATTTCAGCCAGTTCAGGTCCTCAAATTGAGCATTAAATTTATCTGAGCATCCTGGCAGCCAAGGAATAAAGAGRAAACCCAGCAGGTTCTTAAATCTTATCCATTTGTGGAAACATTTCAGGTCTTTAGGACCAGAAAAGATTTGTCCCTGTATAACTCTAAAAAAATAATAATAATAATAATAAAATAAAATTCTCACCTAGATCATTATGTGAGGAATCCTGACCAATACACTGAGKGATATCTTCAGAGGTGACTTCACATAAATACAGAAGCACACCTCGTGACCATTTCTTCTGTCACCAGTTGACAGAAGCAAAGAGAATGATAGTAGAGTGTAGCACCCGACACACTCCTGTGGAGGCGCTGCCTGATTAGATCCCAGGGGACGGATGGTGGGGCCCACAGYTCCATCCTGATGTTGGAACAGAGAAGACTCAGAAATGGTTAGCAGAGAGACAGCTAGGTGGGAGGAGGCCCAGTCTGAGCCGTCCTAAGGACAAGATGTGAGGTGGCACACCATTGTGTCCACACACCTGCAAGGACCTGAAATTAGCTGCCAGCCCCCCTGGATTTGTGTCCCTGCAGAGGGAAGGGCGGGAAAGACACTAAGGAGTCCTGGGAGTACGGTGTGAGCTTGCCTCTGTGCTCACCTTGGGGCGTCTGGGAATTGTGGACCGAGCAGCGCTCCCCGGAAGGCTTGAGGGTTGTGGGGAGCACAGTGTCAGGGGAGAAGGAGGGTCCAGGGCTCCTCGGCAGCTGGAGCAGGCCAGCCTGAGTGCCAGCAGGGGCTGCCTGCCGAGTCCCCGGGGGCAGGTGGGATGGGCCCCAAGACAGTGGGGAGAACTTGGCATCTGCCCACTGCCTAAGGGCACGTACCCAAAAGCTGAAGGATCCTGCCACCTGCCGGGGTGTGTCCTGTTTCTAAAGGGGAAGGACGCTTGGGCCCCTGGCGAGCCGGGGTTTGCACACCTGTCTGCCTGTCCTTCTGGCCAGAAGCACAAGCCAAGGGATGGTTCTCCCCACCCTCCCTCTGCCCCTGCAGTTCGTCAGCAGGTCAGAAAACAAGTACAAGCGGATGAACAGCAACGAGCGCGTCCGCATCATCTCGGGGAGCCCTATGGGGAGCCTGGCCCGGTCCTCGCTGGATGCCTCGAAGCTGCTGACCGAAAAGCTCGAGGGTGCGTGGAGACCGCCCGGCCCCACCCTGCTGCCCGGCCAGCCCCCGGTCTGCACTGCGCAGGCGCACTGCCACCCCACGGGGCAGGGCGGGGACCTAGCGGCCTTCTGGGGAGGATGCCTCCAAGCTCAGCTGTGGCTGACCCACCTCACCGTCACGTCCACCCAGATGCCCATGTTAATCGGAGCTGTTTGCTGGGATGTGTTGATCAATTCCTCTCCCCACTGGGTGCTTTTCGCCATTTTTCAGGCCCGTGAGGGGCCACCAGGACCCCATGCCCAGCCCCAGCCCCTCACTGCCTCCCCTGCTAGGCCAGCCTCACTTAGGGAGGCCAAGGCTCCCCCGCAGGTTATCAGGGAAAGGCCAGGGCTCCCCCCCCCCCCAGGCTGGCCAGGCCAGGCCAGGGGACAAAGGAAAGGGACATGTCTCTGGTTTCAAGAAGTGGGTCCTCAGACTGCTTGGAGCTAGCTTTACAACAGCCATCCCTAGGGCTGTGCTCTGCTCCCACACCCTGTCTAGAGAGGACCGGAGAAGGCAGATTTGAGGTCATGTGGTCACTCTGCCTGCAGGCTAAGGCTCTCTGAGCTCTCAGAGACCCCAAGGTCTTGCTCAGTGACCCTGCCCTCCTGCCATCTGGTGGTCTCCCTTTCTCCCATGCATTCACCCTCCCTCTGCCCAGGCCATCATGCCTGGCTCTTCTCCTGGTCCCAGTCCACGCCCCTCCTCCAAAATGCCGCCCCTGACCATCTGCTAAAGCAATCCCTTCCTCCAGAACCAGGCCACGTCATAAACCACCAGGGCTATTGCATATGTCCCACACCCCTCCACCTCCCGCAGGGGCATGGTTCCCTAGGAGAGGTTCCTGAGTTCCTGGAGCATTGTGTTGCCCKTGCAAACAGCCCCAGGTGTCCTGACATCCCCAGGAGGCCCCTAGGCTCCGTGAAGGGACCAGCAGGGGTGCCAGGGTGGGGCTSTGATGCCAGCCCCTCTTGTCCCCTGCCAGAGATGGACCCCGAGAGCGAGCTCAGTAAGGGCCTCAGCCTCATCCCCTACAGCCTGGTGCGTGCCTTCTACTGTGAGCGCCGCAGGCCCGTCCTCTTCACGCCCACCATACTGGCCAAGACGCTGGTGCAGAAGCTGCTCAACTCTGGGGGCGCCATGGAGTTCACGATATGCAAGTCAGGTGAGCCCTAATAGCATCTGCCGCTGGAGTCACCTGTATTTAAAGCACAGATGTCCAGGCCTGCCCAGGACCAGTTAATGTCAGATGTCCAGGGCTTCCTTAAATTAACGTCACAGACCTCACCATCTTAGCTGTCTCCCAGCACACAGTTCAGAGGCATTGCTAGCACATCCACACTGTGCAGCCGTCTCCACATCCAGAGCTCTTCATCTTGCAGACAGAGACTGCAACCTTAAGGAGAGCCTTGGTCCCCGCCCCAGCCCCGGTGCCWCCCTTTCATCTCTTGTCTGTGACCCAGGATAAGGTACCAAACTCTGTTGCTTCATCTGTAAAACCAGGACAATGGCAGCTGCTCCTCCCAGAGGACAGAGGCTCATGGATGGATAGAGCTGGCCCTCAGGCTGCACCCAGCATAGGTCCCAGGTGGAGCATTATGGGTCCACTCAGCTCTGAGCACTGGCCGTGCACCTCCTTACCCAGCAAGGCCTCCCTTCCAAGCCCAGAAGTTGGGCCCTGCAGCCTTTTGAGGGTGTGCACCTGACCCTTGGGACAGGCCCCTCCAAGGACAGGCTTGAGGAGGACAGCCCTCCCCAAGCACTTATCAGCTGATCCCCAGCCACTGGGAGGCTCTGTGTCCTATTTGAAGATCCCACTGAGCCTTGACCTCTGCAGACATGTCCTATCTTTTCCCTGGTGTCTTCATTGGGCAGAGGGGCCAGGCCTCTCCCACTCAACTTCCTGTACCAAGTTTACAGACTGACCCTGGACTTGACTTAATGCTCCTCCTTCCACAAACAGAGAACCTGAGACCCAGAGAAGTTAGACATGTTTAGAGCCAGGCACCTTGGCACAGGCCTGTCATTCTAGCGACTCAGGAGGCTGAGGCAGGAGCATCTCAAGTTYAAGGCCAATCTCAGCAACTTAACTTGACCGTGTCTCAAAACAAAAAAATAAAAATAGGACTCCAGATGTAGCCCAGAGGGTAGAACTCTTGCCTAGCATGTAGAAGGCCCTGGGTTCAACATCCAGCACTGCCAAAAATAAAGAAATAAATAAAAGACATGTTCAGGGTCACCCAACAAATAGGTGAAGCCTATCTTCTTCCAGGAAGCCTGTCTATACCCCTTCMCCATACCCCTTAATGGTATCAGGTGATGGGTGGGTGGATGGATGGTAGGTGGGTAGATAAATGAGGTGGATGGATAGACAGCCAAATAGGTGGATAGATAGATGGATGAATGGATGGATGATAGATGGGTGTATGGTAGGTGGGTGAATGGATAGGTGATGGGTAGATGAATCAATGTGCAAGATTCTTCATGATTGGCACCTGCTGGGCAGAATTGCACCCAGCACCTGAGCTCTTTTGTGCAGTGGATTTTAATGTCGAGGAGCCGAACACCCGCTCTGTCTTCAAGTCGCTTCACAGTCTAGTGAAGGAGACAAGAGTCATTTAACTGTGTGGCCGGAGAGGGACCAGGCACCGAGTTCTGTGGAGTCCAGGAGGGGACAGCAAGGCCTGAAGAGACTGATCCATCCAAGACCACCGTGTGCCACCCTCAGGATTGGCCCCTTCTCTCTGCAGATATTGTCACAAGAGATGAGTTCCTCAAAAAGCAGAAGACAGAAACCATCATCTACTCCCGGGAGAAGAACCCCAACACCTTTGAATGTATCGTTCCCGCCAACATCGAAGCCGTGGCAGCCAAGGTGAGGGGCTGGGCTGCTACACGGGCCTGGGGCACCCTGGTCATCTCTGGGTGGCCCCGGACCGTGGGTGCAGGTCGCTGTCACCTCCCCAAGTCCCTCTCTCGGCCCCTCCCTCTGCCTTCTCCTCCACCCCTGGTTCTCCTTGTATTGTATTTTGGACTCGGCTTCTGTCTTCTGTGGTGTCCTGGTGCGAGTGAGCTGATCTGCATTGTTTGGGGACATGCGCGTCTGGTCATAGTAACAAGGGCCAGGGATAGAGAGCAAGCATGTCAAGGTGTGAGACAGGGCAGCAAAGGTGGCCGTGTGGCCCTGGGAGCCAGGCGCCCTTCATTCGTTGGCCTGAGCACTGAGTCCTTTCCCCTCCCAGTGCTTGATGGAAGGAAAGCGCTCAGCCTGCAGCAGCGAGGGCCGGGCTCAGCCCTGGTGGATGGGCCCACGGGGTCCAGGACAGGAGCCCAGCCAGGATCTCAGCACCACCACCCAGCTGGCTGCTACTCCCACGCCCTCCCCACGGGAAGGCAGAGGCTGAGTTTTGGGGCAGCCTGGGGGATTTGCTGTGCTTTATAAAGTCTGGGCCAAGCAGCTTTGGAAGTTCTGACAGCAGAGCACAGAGGAAGCAGGCAGGCAGTGGAGCCCAGAGGCCTCCGCKGGAAGGTGCTGCCTCTGAAATCCCATTCCCCAGGACTCAGTGCTGGGACAGGGGCACATGAGTAGTGGCCAGGAGGGAGCATGGGGCTGCGGGTGCCTCTGGGCCTGGGTGCCTGTCCCTGCATGCTAGATGTGCGAGGTTGTGGAACTGCACACTTAGGGCAGTTGTATTCCAGCTAGATGTGAATTTAGTGTTTGTTCTGAGATGATTGATGCCTTCAGCAAGCCCTGGATTGTCCTTTGTCATGGGCCCTTCAGAGGCTCCTACCCACCAGCCTGGACTTTTTTTTTTTTTGGTACCAAGGATTGAACCCAGGGGTGATTAACCACTGAGCCACATCCCAGCCCTTTTCATGAATTTTTTTAAATTCTGAGACAGGTTCTCACTAAGTTGCTTAGGGCCTCGTTAAGTTGCTAAGGCTGGCCTGGAACTTGTGATCCTCCTGCTTCCATCTCCTGAGCCACTGGGATTACAGGTGTGCACCACCACACCACCCCCGGCTCCCACCTTGCCTTTCCAGTGTCCCCCAGCCTGGAAGATCGGCTGGCATGGCTGGTGTTTTGTTGAAACCATCCTGGGGYCTGGTCCCTGCCAGTGCATCACCCTGCACAGCAGGGTCATGAGAAGCGTCAGGCATGCAGGGTCTCGGTCACAGAGGCCAGGTTTGGCCTTGGTTACTCCCTGGTTCAGCCAGTGGCACTCAGCACCGTCATGGCCCTGGCATCTGTCCAGTGAAGCCTGGCCCTGCTCCTGGGCCCTGCTCCTGGCACCATAGAGGCTTGGGCRGGCGGGAAGGGGCACTGCTGATTGGTGGCTTGCTGCATTCACAGAACAAGCACTGCCTGCTGGAGGCGGGCATCAGCTGCGTGCGAGACCTGATCAAGTGCAAGATCTACCCCATCGTGCTCTTCATCCGGGTGTCCGAGAAGAATACCAAGAGGTTCAGGTAGGCTCTGAGACCTGCCCCTCTCCCTCACAGCCCACCCGCCTCCCTGTCTCCCCGGCATGCCCCGTCCCTCCATGCATCCCTTCAGTAAGTCCTCATCCAGGACAAGACCCCAGTCCATGGCAAAGGACACAGCTGGTAGGGACAGGTACTAGGAGGATCCCCCAAGGGAGACCTTGCAGGTGAGCCATCCAGACCCCATGCAGCAGCAGGGACAGTTAGCAAGTGGACAGTGGTCGGAGAAGGTCCAGACCACATGGAGCTTATCAGCCACAAGAAGGAAGGATGTGGCCTCTAATCCAAGAAGGAAGGATGTGGCCTCTAATTCAAGAAGGAAGGATGTGGCCTCTAATTCAAGAAGGAAGGATGTGGCCTCTACTTCCGAGGGAGACAGGAAGCCACTGAGGTTCTGGGCAGAGCCCGACAGTCTAATTCAGGATGTACATGGCTCCTCTCCGTGCCTCTGTTGAAGCACACAGTAGGATAACCCAGGCCTGGAGGATAGTGGGGGCCGAGACTCTGGGCAGGAGGGGACAAGAAAGTGGCTGTGGCCCAGCACTATGACGCACGCCTGTAATCCCAACAGCTTGGGAGGCTGAGGCAGGAGGATCACTTGTTCAAAGCCAGCCTCAGCAACTTAGTGAGAGCCTATCTCATAATAAAATATTAAAAAGCCTGGGGACATGGCTCTGTGGTTAAGTACCCCTGAGTTTGATCCCTGGTGAGGAGGAGGAGGAGGAAAAGGGGGAGGGGGAGAAGGAGGAAGAGGAGGAGGAGGAGGAGGAGGAGGAGAGAAGGAAGGAAGGAAGGAAGGAAGGAAGGAAGGAAGGAAGGAAGGAAGGAAGGAAGGAGGGAGAAAGAAGAATTTGCCACAGGGTCAACTGTGAGGTTGGACAGGAAGCCAGGGTGGTGCTGGCATCATCTAGGGTCCCCGCCTGCCCCCAGGCAGCTGCAGAACAAGCCTGGTGACCACAGTAACAGGCCTTGGGGGATCCATCAGTGAACAGCTGAGACGGGAATCACTCACTGTTGGGAAAGTGGAACTCGMACACCTCTGGGGGCAAGCTCCTGGGTGGCCAGGCAGGCAGGGCCACACCAGCCCTGCTTCTGGAGGCTTTCCTGGGGGTGGGCAGACAGTTGTGCAAACCCCTGGGCTGGCCTTTGTCCCCACCATGGGGATCCAGCCCCGCAGCCTCCCCCTCAGCCCCTGTGGGTCTCCCCTACCAGGAAGCTGCTGCCCCGGCCGGAGACRGAGGAGGAATTCCTGCGCGTGTGCCGGCTGAAGGAGAAGGAGCTGGAGGCCCTGCCCTGCCTCTACGCCACGGTGGAGGCCGAGATGTGGGGCAACCTGGAGGAGCTGCTGCGCGTCATCAAGGACAAGATTGGCGAGGAGCAACGCAAGACCATCTGGGTGGACGAGGACCAGCTGTGAGGCCCAGCGCCCCGAGTCTGAGCAGTGCCGCAGGAGACGAGGGGGCATCCCGCTGCCCCAGCCTGGGGCCGTGTGCTGGTGTCCCTCCAGGGAGCCCTGGGTGCAGACGCGGCCAGGGACAGACACAGCTGGGGAGGTGCAGGGCATAGCCGATTCCATCCAAGCCCGTCCTGCCCAGTGGTCAGGCCCTTCTGGCATTAGCAGAGGGACTGCCCGAGGCCAGCAGGCCCCTCAGAAACCAGAGCAGCAGGTGAATGTAATATGTAACGCATGGGACAGGTGTGCTACCCTAGGGCAGGGCCCAGCAAGCAGGGCGGCTGCCAGCCCTGGGCACAAGCATCCTCCTGGGCAGGACAGGTCTGGGGGAGTCAACATGTGCCACATGGTTATTTTTCTTGCATTAAAATTTCTAGTCCTTTTATTCATTTAAAAAAAAATTTTAATTTAAATGTTTCAGAGGTTAGTCCCTCACAGTTCTCCTCAGTGGAACACCACTCCCAGCAAGCTCAGCGTAGGCGCAGAAGTGGCTCAGGCCCTGCGTTCAGGTACTGGGTGCAGGACGGTGGCCTGGTCCCCTGGACACTCCYGATTCACAGCCAGGTTTGGGTGTCCTCACTTAGAGCACCTGCCTGGACTCAGGGCATCGTGGTCTGGAGAGTGCGGGGTCCTCTCTGGGAAGGACGCAGCCTTCCACAGGTGGCCCAGGAGGACTGAGGCCATGCTCCTCCCCAGAGAGTCACCACCAGCATCTCTGTCCTCTGCATTTGCTGTTCCTGCATCCTGGGGTTCAGGAGGGGTCTGGGGGTGAGGCCGTCCAGTGGGCTTGCTCCCCCCGGCCCAGGAGCTGGAGGTGCAAGAGGGCAGCGCTTCCCATCACCATCAGCAGCTAGTGCCCTGCAATTCTGAACCTGACTGGTACAACCACACCGGGCCAGGTGGTGGCCTCGGCTGAGCAGGGAGTGGGCAGGAACTAGGGGAGCAACTTCAAGTAGACAACCCAGCATCCCCATTGCCTCCCTAACAGAATCCTGATTTTATTCTGAGAATCTATGTGCACAGCTAAATATCGATACGTCCCAGCTTTCCTTGTAGCTAAGATTCATTAAGGAAACAAGGAAAGGTTTGGGGGAGAAACTCCAGTTTTCTGCCTGCAATGCAGACCTGATGACTGGAGCCCCAGCAGTCATCTTGGAATTTTGAGGTGACCATGTAAGTGGGAAATCCCACTCAGAGGTTGGTGGAACCAAAAGATAGAAGGAGACAGAGTCACCCGTGACACCCGAGAGCCCAGGACCGCTGCCCARGTTTCTTTTACATGGGACAGAAATCAATTTTTATCTTGTGTTAAGTGGCTATTTCAGTTCTCCATTACCCGTAGCCTAGAGCAATTCCTAACAGACCCAGGAAACCCCCTTTTCTTTATGATTGCAAATGCCATGGGTTGATCTTCTGCGAGGTTTTTGCCACATAATCAAGATAGGATTTGTTCATAGAAGAACTGTATTAATAAATATCTCCTCCTAAAAAACAGTCCTGTGCAGCCTACAGCAATTTCTGGCATTTTGGCTCTCAGAAGACGAATTAGCCCTGCAAAGGCTGGGAGGTGGGAGTGGGTGGGTGGGGCGGGTCGCAGGAGGGTGCCTGGGTCTCTCTTCTCTCCCTGGATTTCCATCCCTCCACCCCTGGGTCAGAGTTGGCCTGGGACTGCAACCTTTAAAACCAAAACCAATCCCCCTGACCCCCACCCCCCACAGCCAGCCAGAGCTTCATTTTCCAAATCAGCCCCTGCACTCAAGCTGGGTGCTCCGGGTCTGCGCAGGCGGGGACCCCGAGGTCCAGCTGCAGTTACTTAAGGTGCTAGATACCGCCAGGCGCCTTGTCAAAGCCTGAAGTTAAACAGTAAATTTCCCCCAAGCCGAGGCCATCGCATTTCCACTTAGAAGCTGTGCCGGGGGGGACAGACGTGACTGGAAAAAGAGACCCGGATAAAAGGCCTGCTGATTTATTTCTATTTATTTATTTAACTTCAGGGTCCTCAGGCTTGCGGTGCAGAATTGCCAAACTGGCTTGCAGAGCGTTTGGGAGGCCCAGGGTGAAGGGGGGCTGCACTGGGGAAAGATCTGGAAAGACGACGGAGGGGTTTGCCTTCCAGCTCCAGAGGGCAGGGCCTGGGCCAGATACACCCTAGCAAGGGGAGAGGGYGGGAGGGTCTGCAGATGTCAGGCRCTGGCCCCCCTGAAGCTGAACCTGGGCTCTGATTCCACCTCAAACCCCAGAAACCAAGACTGAACAACAGGAAGTGCCCCTTCCCCCACCCCACCCTGGCTGTGGTCACCCGCCCGGCAGCAGGTCAGCAGGTTGCTGGGGAAAGCAGAAGAGAGGCCCTGAGAGGGATTCTGACCACATGGGGCTGTCATGAGATTAGAGAAGCCACAAGAAGACACCTGCCCCAGCCCAGCCCCAGTGGCTGTGGGACATGGGGACATCGAGCCTGTCATCTCTCAAGCCAGCAATGGAACACACACACCCTTCCATCACAGAAGTCACAAAGCCCAAACTGCAGGGATGGGGGACCTCTGAGAGGAGGGTGGGGTGGCAAGACTTTGTTCTTGTTTGAAAATGCATAGATAGCCGGGCGCAGTGGCACAGGACTGCAATCCCCAGCGCTCYGGAGGCTGAGGCAGGAGGATCACAAATTCAAAGCCAGCCTCAGCAAAAGYGAGGCACTAAGCCACTCGGTGAGACCCTGCTTCTCCATCAAATACAAAATAGGATTGGGGATGTGGTTTAGTGGCCGAGTGCCCCTGAGTTCAATCCCCTGTACCAAAAGAGAGAGAGAGAGAAATTCTGTAAAATGGGCCCACGGTGCTGACCCCCACATGCTTTCTTTYCCAAGARGAAATTTACCTGCAGCCCTGCCTGGCCTCAGTGGACAGGACAGGTCACATTTCTCAGCAAACTACCTGTTCACTGCAGGAGAAATGCAGGCCCCAATTAACATTGATAAGAGGAACCCAAGTTACCCCAAGGGGGAGACTTTGGTGACCAGATCCCCTGAAACTCTGGGAGATAAGGATAGTTCCTTTTAACCTTAAAATCTGTAAGAAAGTGTGGTGAAGAATCCTGTTAGAACCAGTCAGTGTGGACCAAGGTGATGTCGAGTGGCCATGACAGTGGGGACTTGAAGGTCTGATGTCACCCTGCTGTCAGTCAAAAGTCAAGAGGTGGACCTGGGAGGGACTCTCTGGAAACTTCCCCGGGATCCTCAATAAAACGGGAGTGCAAGAGACGCACGCTGTCCCTCTCCTCTCTGAGAAGACCCACCCTCCCCCTTGAGAATGTCCCCTTTCCCCTTTCCTATCCCTTCAATAAACCCCTGCCCTGTTGCTCTGAGGGACTCATCTGAAATATTTCTGACTTAATCACAGGAATCTGGGTTGGGGGGGGGGGTCTTCATGGTGCCTTAGTTTCTCAGAGGGCCCCAGCTCTGTGAAAGGTTGAGGCTGGGACCTCCACCTCTCCTAGACACAGACTGAGCCCTCCTCCTCCTCCCCCCCTGCACTGAGGGACGACAGTCCACCCTCTAACACCCAGCTCGGCCCTCAGGGGCTCCCCAGGCCAGAACCAGGCTCCCCTCCTTCTCTCTCCTTCCCTCAGTGCTCCCTCCAGGCCTCACCCTGTCACCCTCTGTCACCCACCCTATTGATTGATCTCTTAACTCTCTGCCCCATCCATTCTCTTCCCCACCAYCATCTTGCTCTCCTCTGGCTTCTGGGCTACACACACGCTGTCCCTCTTCTCAGCACCTGGGGTGGCCTGTCCCCACCTRGGCTGAGACACACCCTGGGCCACAACCCCTACTGAAGGGCCTTCTGGCTGTCTCCTCTGGACCATGAGTGTCACGGGGTGTGGGGCTCGTGGGCCTGCTCACCCCTCACGCCGGTGCCTTGGTTAGGGAGGCCCACCTCTGCCACCCAGAAGGTCAGGCGTGCAGGCAGGCACAGCATGGCTGGGCGACCCCAGTTCTCATGATGTCTGCAAAGGTCACTGTTGGCTCTGGACAAAGTCACCAGGGGGACACAGGGACCCTGGAAGGCCACCCACAAACAAGCCACGGGGCCAGCCACATTCCAGCGAGAGGGCAGCACACCCACGTGGGGTGGTGCCAGGGTCTGCAGCCTGTCCAGCCTGCCTCACCCCAGGTCCCTCCTGCAGGAAGAAGCAGAGTTGGTGACCTCAGCCATCACAGAGCTGCAGCTGCTCCCCACAGACCTCCTCCTGGCCCACGGCACCTGCTCTAAGGCCCACCTGCTGACCAGTGACCCCAGGGTGCAGATGCAGGCTCAGGGCTGCTGGCTCCTGGGACGGGCATCGGGGAAGGAGAGGAGGCCCCACCCGGGGAGCACTGAACGGCCCATGGCTGCTGGCTTTGCCAGCAGGTRCAGAACCCTGCTCTGCAAGCTGCAGAGACACGGGTGACGCTGCCACAGTGTCCACCATGGGGGCCACAAGCCACACATGGCTACTTCAATTAAACTGATTGAAAGTAAATAGAATTGAAAACCCAGTTCCCCAGTCACCCTCGAAAGTCTGATGTCACCCTCTCAAAGTTTAGCAGCTCATGGGTCTCATTCARCTCCACTGAACAGAGGAGACAAAACAGTTCCATGTGGCAGAAGGTTCCAGGGGACAGTGCTGCACGAGACAGCTGCTGAGACCCTGCCATGAGCCCGGCACAGGCCCAGGTCCTAGATAGAACCCAGAGATTTATCACCACAGTCCMTATTCTCAGGGTGCTGGCTTCTTGCTGGCCATGCAGGTAAGTCAGTGCTTTGCCATCAGAGTTGTTCCTGGACCAGCAGGAAGATCAACAACCGAAGTGGACCAGGCTAAGGCAATAAGGACAGTTGGGGACCATGGCAAATGGTCAAGCAAACAATCCATCTACAAGGGGCAGCTGGTAGTTAGCCCCAATTCTTAGTGCCCTGCAGGATGAAGTC